CTATTGCCCTGCTGCAGCCGGGCCTCTGCTGGCATTTTTTTTTTGGCGACTTCCTCAGAACCTCCTCTCCGGCCCAGACCGCCTGGGCATGCAGGTTCCTGCTCTCTGCTTACAGGTCACTTCCCCAGGGCAGCCTTCTCTGGGCCCCCAGTTTTACTCATCCACAGCCCCGCCCTGTCTTCCACCCCTCACATAGCCAGCAGGGACTGCCTCGGTCTCGTTCACTGCCTTTTGCCCACCACCCAGCTCAATGCACAGTGCATACTGGCCACGGGGCTTGAGGGAGAGAACAGGAGCCCTCGTGCCAGGTCGAGCAAACCTCTCACCTGGCCACACGTCTGCAGAAGCAAGCTGGGCCCCAGCGTGAGCCTGACAGGCTCACCTCCCTCCCCAGCAGCTCTTTCCCCACAGCAGGCCCAAGGGGTCAGGGTCTGAGGAACTATCCTCCCCTCCCTGCCCCCACAGTCCACACTAGAGGAGGCTGGCAAAGCGCAGGGCCCCTGCCCTGGGGTCCTAAACCTCCCACAGGCCAGGCCCACCCCCCACGCACTGTCCCAATGCCCCCAGTCAAGTCCGCTCCACCTCCAGGCTCTCCCTGACTCCCCAGCTGCTCGCCTGTCTCCCCTCCCCCAGCTCTGCCCTGAGCGCTTTCCTCCAAATCCTCTCCCCGAGACCCCTCGGCTCACCCCACCTCCTCTCTCCCTAGCCCTGTCTCCTCCTCCTCACCTCTCCACACCTCCCACCTCCCCACGGCTTTTCTCTTCCCTTCCCTCTTAGCAGCCCCCACCTCGGGCACGCTCAGCCCTCTCCCTTCACCCCGATTGCGTCCCCTCACCCCCACTCCCCCCCAGCTCGGGCTCTTCGCAGCCGCCTGGCCGCGCCTCCCGCGCACCTGGGGAAGGGGCGGGGCCTCCTCACCTGGCGCCGCACAGGAGCGGGGCAGCGGCCCCCAGCGGCCGGGGAGGGAAGCGCAGCCCAGGTGGGCTCCCCTCCCAGCTGGTGCCTAACTGGGAAGCGACCACCATTCCCGCCCGCCTGCGGGGCCCCGGCGGCTTCCCGGACTCCTGCTTCCCGGGAGTGAGGAGGGCGGGTGTTTGCAGCTTTCAGTGGTGTGGTCAAGAGGGGACCTTTGAGCAGTCCTGAAGGCGGGGGCTGCACTGGTGAAGGGGTCCTGTCGGCTCTGCCTCCCGGCTATGCCTGCACTCTGACCACCTCTCCCAGCATCCTGGTCCAGGCCTCCATCGCCTGTCACCTGGATTGACGGTGGCAGCCACCTCCCCAGGCTCCTGGTTCCTTCTCAATTCCCACCCGTAATTTTGGGTTTTTTTGCTGAGGAAGACTGGCCCTTGGCTAACATCCGTGCCCATCTTCCTCGAGTTTACATGGGACTCCACCACAGCATGGCTTGATGAACGGTGCGTATGTGCACACCCGGGATCCACTACGCCACCAGGCTGGCCCCCGTAATTTTCTTTTAATTGGGGTGAAATTCACAGAACATAAACTGAACCACTAACCGTTGTAAACTGCACAATTCAGTGGCATTTGGTACATTCACATTTAGTGCAACCACCACCTCTGTCTAGTTCCAGGACATTCTCATCACCCCAAAAGGAAGCTCCATCCCCAGTGGCAGTCATGCCCCATCCCCCCTCCCCAGCCCCTGGCAGCCACCAATCTGCTTTCTGTCTCTATGGATATGCCTGGTCTGGACATCTCATATCAATGGAATCACACAATATCTGGCATTTTGTGTTTGGCTTCTTTCACTCAACACAGTTGTTTCAAGGTTCATCCACGTTGTAGCAGGTATCAGAGCTTCCTTTTCGTGGCTGAGTAATATTCCATTGCATGGATATATGACATCTTGTTTCTCTGTTCATCCACTGATGGCCATTCGGGTTGTTTCCATTTTCTGGCGCTTGTGAATAGTGCTGCTGTGAACACTGGCGTGTATCTGAGTTCGTGTTTTCAGTTCTGTCAGGTATGTACCTAGGAGTGGGGTTGGGGGTCACACGGTAACTCTATGTTGGACTTATTGAGGAGCTGCCCATATAATCTTTTAAACGTGCAAATATGATCATGTCGACCCCTGCTCCAAGCCCTCCCTTGGCTCCCTCTGTCACTGAGAATCTAATCCAGACCCTTCCCACAGCCTCTGAGGCTGAGCTCGGTGGTCCCACCACACTGGTCCTCGTGCTCTTCAAATAGTCCTGCCTGCTCCAACCGCAGGGGCTTTGCACCTGCTGTTCCCCCTCCTTGGATCACACATGATGGGCTCCCTCTCAGCTATCAGGTCTCAGCTCAAATGTCTCCTCCTCAGAGAGGCCCTCCTGGGCCACTCTAGCCTAAATCATAGGCCCTGGCACCCTGCCTCATGCCTCTTCATTGTTTTTGTCTTCACAAGATTGATGGCGCTCTGACATTTTCTTCTTGTTCCTAGCAAACCGTCAGCCTCCCTGACAAAGTGGCAGCTCCAGGGGGACAGTGATGTGTCTCATTCACAGTCATACCCTTGGCTTCCAGAACAGGGCCTGGAACCAAGGTCAGGACCAGCCCGAGGCACACGAGGTGGAACAGCTGGCAAGATAAACTATATTTTAATGCAATATTTTAAAAGATCAAAATTCATGCAAAAAAAGTCCATGATGAACAAAATGTGGCACTCTTCAATAGAAAGAGAGCCTCGGTGTTCCCCATTCTCTCTTTTCCCCCAGGCTCCAACACAGCTCCTCACAGCGTGCTTCTCCATCCCGCCTTTACTTACAAAGTGGATTGTTTTGGTCATCGAGGATATTTTGCATAACTGTTGGGTTTCTTAAATATTGCATTGCAGTCTTATTTCTCTTGATCACTGGTTTTCCGCCATCCTCTCAGCCTCTGAGGCCCAGGAAGTGCCTCACTCACCCCCCCACCAGGCCAGCCCTGGGTGGAGCCCAGGGTTCACTCTCCAGAGGGAAGTGGGGAGCCAGGGAATGCCAACCTCGCAGCCCCGGCCTTGGCCTACACAGTCGGGCAGTGGCTCCATGGGGCCCCTGGGCAGACAGGCCTGGCTCAGAACCTGACTCTGTTTTTTAACTATTTGGGTGAGTTATGGAGCCTCAGGTTCCACATCAGTAACATGGGGAGAAATTACCTACCTCTGGGGTCCTCACAGCGAGCAAATGAGACTTAGTGTCAACTCAGCCCTGTCTCAGCCAGCCTGGGCCTCTCCCCGTCACCAGCCTGACACCTCTGCTCGACCCTCTATTAAACCAAACGGGACTCCTGGATCTGACCTCCAACACCGCCCCTCCCGCCGTGGTCCCCATCCTTGCAGATGCTCAGGCCACAAACTGCCTCTCTCCGTCACATGCCACTTCCAATCTCTCTGCTCCACCTGCAAAATACACCCAGAATCCGCCCTGCTCACCTCCACTGTCACCTTCGTGGTCCCAGCCCAGCGGCGACCCCCGGGGCCAGTATGGTCACCTCCCCCCTGGGCTCCCAGCTTCTGCTCTCGACCCCCACACTGTCCCCCCACAGTGGCCGGAGGGCGCCTGGAGCCCCTGAGTCCGGGCCGTCCCTCCTCTGCTCAGAACCCTCCAGGGCTCCCAGCTCACTCCGGATTGTGGGGGCCAGCACGATCTGCCCCACCACCCCCGCCCTCGCCTCCTCCATCCTTCCCCTCCCCCACTCCCTCCAGCCACAGGCCCTCTCATGGAGCCTTGGGACACCCAGTATTTTCTGCCTCGTGACCTTTGCACAGGCTGTTCCCTCTGCGTGGAACACCCTTCCTCCGGATCCCCCCATGATGCCTCCCTCATCTCCTCAGGTCCTATCCAAACACCACCCTCGCAGAGAGGGCCTCCCTGACTTACTGATCTAAAACTGCACCCGTCAACACACCCCCCCGTCTGCCTCCCTCAGTGTTCTTCCGCGACGCTCATCATCACCTGACATCCCGGGTCTCTGTCTGATTTCCCTTCTCTCCTCCCGATTACACCGTCAGCCCCAAGAACAGAGAATCTTGTCTGCACTGTTCGTCGCTGTGTTCCCAGACCTAGCACAGCCCCTGGTACCCAATAGGTGCTCAATAAATGTCTGTTGACTGACTGAATGCACCTCCCCCCACAAAGACAGCAGCAGGAATCCCCGCCCCCACCCTATCTTCCCAGCCCAATTCTGACACCTCCATAGTTTGCTTTTCACTTGGGAGAGGGCCTAGGATGAGATGGGGCTCAGACGTTGCCCAAGGTGGGGGTACAGGGGGCCTCCAGAAGGGCTCAAGCCTCGGACAGGTTCACCATCCACTCCCCCAGCACCCTGCTCACGTTCCAGGCCTAATTGCCTCATGGCTTCTGAGTCTGCCTTTTCCACGGGCACAGGGGTGCCCCTGAGGGGGCTTCCGGTCTCGTTCTCGGGGCAGCGGGCATCCTCAACACCCAGCACAGCGCCCCACTAAGGGCACGTAAGGGGTGCTCTGTGCTTGAGGAATACACGGGAGGAATGAATACAGGAACCGAATAACATGCCCCGCACGGCTGTGCATCCCGCGCGGAGTGGGCTCTAGGAAAAGCCGGGCTGGGGCGCCTGTTGGGGGGCGGAGTTCTGGGCTTGCCCTGGTTCCCCCGAGTCCCAGAACGTGTTTCATCCCCACCCCGGCCCCCCTGCCCGCCCGTGTTACAAGGTCTGGCGCCAAACGCAGGACCTAAAGAGCCTGAGGCAGGACCCCCGGGACCGAGGGCTCTAGGCCCGAGCCAAGGACGCGGGGCCTGGGGACAGGGGACGGTGGCGGAGCGCAGCGCCCAGGACGCTCGGCGTGGGCGCAACACACGGAGCGCAGGGCGGGGGCGGAGGGCACAGGTGAGCTGACCCGTCTGAGGCCGGGTGCCCGAGGTGCTAGGTGCACAGAACAGAGGGTCCCCGAGCCGCGGGGGGATCAGAACGAGGGGTGTGCCCGGCGCGGGACGCCCTCGGCGTGGGGGTGTTCTGACACTGGGTTCGGAGAAGGTGGGGTGCTAGCGCGCAGGGTGCACAGGACGTGGGGCATCTAAGCTCGGGGCACACTGGGCGTGGGAGTCCCGAGGCGCAAGGTAGGATGCCGGAAGCGAGGAGCGCCCCGGGAGCAGGGAGTGGGCATGCGAGGCGCGGGTCCCGGCCAGCGCAGCCGGGCACCAGGCACCCGGGCGAGACTGCGCGCGCGCGGACGCGGCGGTTACCGGTGCCCGGCTGCTGGCGCGGCCTCCACTGCGGCTGCGCAGAAGAGGGCCTGGGGCGAGGAGAGGGGGGTGCCGGGGCTCATTGCGCCCCCAGCCTCTCCCCATCCTTTGCCTCTGAGCCCCTCGCCGGTGAGGCCAGAAGACCCGGATGGAATGGAGGCTGGCGAACGGATTCCGGTCGCGATCCGACGCGGTCCGCGGACCATGGGGTTGGAGAGAAAAAGGAGGGGCTGGGAAGGGGTCCTGGCTGAGATTTTTCCAAACTGAGCTGGGGGTCCCTTAAACCATACCACCCCTCCCGTTCATATAAGTATGTAAAGGCCACCTCTTCTCGCAGCCTCTGGAGAATGCAGGTTAGAACCACCCCCTAGGCACGCTGATAGGGCTGGGGAAGGTGGGTGGGCTGCTCAGGGCCGGAGGGTGGGGTGGTGGTGGGGGACTTGGAGCCAGAGGGCTCCGGAGGTGCCCAGCTTTCCCTGACTCCACGTTCTCTCCTCCTGTCAGTTCTGCTGGGTGTATAGAAAGCTGGCTGTCTGGATGTGTCCCCGTTACCCCCTGAGACACCGCACCCACTCCCCAACACCTCAAAGGCTTCCGTGGGTCCATATATTTCAGAGTGGGAAACTGAGGTGTGGAGAGGTGCCCCCCCCACCCCATAGATCCGCAGTCAACCACAGATGGATGGAATCCTTTCTGCACCCACCAACCTCTGCTTCATTTGTATTTGGTCCCCCAGATCCAGCTGTCAGGCCTGGTCACCCAGATTCAAGGCCGGAGCTCTGCAGCCGTGGAGCCCTGGGCGTGAAGGGGAACAGGTGGCCCACCTATCCTCCCTACCCCCTAAGTTTGGGGGCCCGATCTGGCCCAGGTTCTGGGCTCTGAGCATCCCTGCCCATCCTGAAATGAAGGCTGTCCACACAGAGGGTGGAGGGCCGTCACTCCCAGTCACCCAACCAGCCTGGCAGTCCGGGGCCTGCCTTTCCCTCAGTTCAGCCACCAGGACACGCTTCCGAAGGAGTTGTTAGAGGCTAGCTTAATTCACTTGCAGATGTTCAATTTAAGCTTTCTTAGATACTCAGTTCCCATTCCAGTCGGCCCCAGGTTTTGCGTATTTACCACCTCAACACTTCCACGGTCTTGCCCCATTCCTCACCCATTCTGCAGAGCCAAGCTTGAGTGGCAATGCATTCTCTTCCCAGGAAACACAGACGGGGTTTGCCTCCCTCCCCAAGCTCAGCCCGTCCCCTTCCTCTAGAGTCCCGACCCGGATTTGTCTGCCCTACTCCCTCCCACACCACGAATGCCGGCTCTGAGTCGGCCAAGATTCAGCCCGGACTTGGGACTCCGCATAAGCTGGCTGCTTTACTACCTATGCCTCTCTGGATGGACTTCCTTCCCCGAGGATCCCAGCCCGGGATGTGCTCCTCCCCAGCCGTCAGTCTCCGAGTTGCACCCATCTTTTATAAAATGCAGCCGGCAGCCAGCTTCCAGGTCCGGACTCCGCAGATCCTCACCGGGTCTTACCTCTCAGGACTTTCCCCCTCCCCTCTCCTCCAGGATTCTGCCCCCCCCCGCCCAATTTCCCCCCAGCCCCCACTCTGCACCGAGTTGTCTGTTCTGCTGAAGTGCTTATTTTTGGCCCGAGGCCCAGATTTATACCCCCACCCCCACCGCCTGCTGTGGGTCTCAGCAGTCACAGCTCAGGCTCCGGGGATCCAAGCCGGGTCGGACATCCTTCCCCGCCCGGGAGAGGGGGTGCGGGGCTCCCTCTGCAGCCTCACCATGAAACCTGCCCCTAGCCTTAGTCGGCCAGATGCCCAGGAACCCGCTGGCTCCTTGCCCTACTTCTTCGAGTCGCCCGGCTTTAGGATAGCTGCTAGGCTGTGGGAATCCGTACCGGGTTTTTGCTCTTGCCGAGAACCTAAAAGTCAATTTTTTCTCTCTTTCCTCGCCCCCGCCCCCCCAAAGCGAGACGTTTGAGGCGTTTATAGATACTAACCTCCCCCTAACACTGCCCCCCGCCGCTGCTGTCCGGTCGGCTCCGAGCCGTTGTCCGGTGGCCCGCGATCTTGCGTCGGGGTGCGGTCCCGTCCGCGGACTCCGGTCCTGGCTTTGCGGCCTCCCCGCCCTTTATTGTAGGGCCGGTCTCCCGGGGTAGCGGCCGCCTCGGCGCGTCCCCTTCGCAGCGCCCCTGGGTCCTGAAGCGCTTTTACCTGCCCGCCTCGGCGCCGCCGGCGCTCCGGACCCCTCGGTGGCCGAGTCCGGCCCTCCTTTGGCCCCTCCCCCTCGCACGTCGCTGCCAGGAAGATGGGGGCAGCCCCTCCCCGAGCCCAGGTCCGGGAGCTCTAGGCCGGGTCTTGCTTGTGCCCACTGCATTAGGCATGACGCATTACTCCGTCTCCTGAGGAAGAATCCGGCCCGAAATTCGCGTGCTCCGGGTGCCTTTGGCCCTGTCGCAGCTCCCCCGCCTCCCGTCTCCGTGTAGTCCAGCCCGGGTTTTGCGTACCCCTTCCAGATCTCCCCGGTTGCTCCCCTCCCGGGCTCGGCGCCCTTCCCTTCCTTCGCGGCCCGCAAAATCCGCTCCGGGTCTTCCTCGCGCCCGCCTCCCCTCCCCCACGCCCGTTCCGACTCGGGGATCCAGCACGTCGCCTCCCCGCTCCCGCTCTCCAGAGCGCCGCGGAGGCGGAGGGGGCAGTCCAGCTCGGGTTTTCGCGCCGGCCCCGCGCGCCGGCAGGTTGCGGCGGCCGGTCCCGGGCGG